ATTAATTTGGGGAAAGATCAAAGTAAAGATGTACTTCAAGTTAAAATATTTTATCAATCTTTTTATAAGTTAATATTCATCTTGTGACAGAACAGAAATCATGTTAAGGCTATCTAAGATTTTTGATTCTCTTTTTAATCAAATTTATTCAAAGATGGGAATTTCCAAAGCATTTTGGAAAATATGTGAGTTATTAGACTTTGTTTTAGAGATAGACTTTGCTGCATATTAACAGTGTAACATTATTTCCTCTTCTGTAAAATGAAATTAATTATACTGCTTTTGCATACTTATTAAAAGGATTGCAGATGGTTCATGAACATTTTTAGGTGAAAATTCTAGTACCTTGATTATTTTGTATCCGCAAAAACACAGGATTCCACTATTATTATTGTCATTGTTAGTAATGCTGAGCCTCAGATCAATCATAAATCATGTAATTAATTTTATAAACTATTGTGCAATTGGACATTTTAAATCATTTGCCATAAGATTTTTTTTTTTGGTTCAGTAAAAATTATACCTTCCCATGGATGTTATAAGCATTGCAAATGGACAAGTTTTTAGTATAGATTCCTTGATACTAAAACTAGATACTCAGCCAGCTCAGATTATTCATCCCTATTCTCTATTCCCTTTAGAAACAAAACAAAATAAGCCCACACCATCTACTACATGAAGCCAGAGAACTAGCAATAGAGAGATACTGCTACAGTCAAAGAGTTACATATTTGTAACATATTTTCAAGGTGCATGCAGTAATTTAGTACATTCATATAATTTGTAAAAGTCCGTGTAACCAGGATATCTATTATCTTAAATATTTGTCTTTTCTTTTCGTCAGAAACACTTGAGTTATTCTTTTCCCGCTATTTTAAAAGGCATAATAGATTATTGTAAACTACAGTCATCCTATAGATGTATCAGACACTACGGTTTATTTCTTCTAAGCATATATTTGTATCCATTAATCAACTTTAACGAGTTACACTTCTTATTGGAAAAATAATAGCAAGTGTGAAGACTTTCTTACTTATCAGTTTAATCATTCGTATTTGAAATGCTTTGTTTAGAGCCCACACTAGCTAACTTTGGTGTTTTAGTGAGTTCCCAGTTGTAGGATCGTCTGTGTACCAAAGGTCACGGTAATATCTGAAAATATGTGTGGAGCACGCATAGAGATAACTTCAAAATGCACTTAGATAAACTGCACTGTCATGTAGACCCTTAATTTGCCATGCAAGTTTGTATCACTTGCAGGAGGTCAGCAACGGACACAGGACCCGTGGGCCGGCTGGGAGGCTGTTACTGTGACCCACGTGGAACCCGCATTGTTTCCTGATTCTGACAGTAGAAGGCGTCTTCTACCACCAAGAGGCCACTAATATAAGGAAATTATCATTCTCTGTTGCTGAAACTAGAATATATTCATTTTTGATTATTTTAAGAGACAGGCAGGTTATGGCTTGCCTGTAAATAACTTTGCTATGTATTATATAATTAACTGATTTCAAACTCAAGTCTCCATTCTGCTAGTTGGACAAAAGTAATCTCAGCCGATGCAAATTAATTTTGGTCAAGAATTCCTCTGTCAACACCGAAGCGTCAGCCCCCTGTTTATTTTTAGCCCCTGTCTTTTTCCTGGGTTGAATCTAGGACCCAGAGGTGGCAGTGGCAGGGAAGGGCTGGTCTTCTTACCTTTCCGTGTTGTCAAGTCTGCTGATTCGACGTGCATCCAGGCTGGCATTGGTGGACACAGGAAGTACTGCGGCCTCCTTACCTTCCTGTGGAGTGATCCTGCGTGTGTTTCTCTCTGCCATATTGCTTTATTCTTGCCAATGTGGGAAACATTCTCTAGCCACTTCTGGAGGACTGTGACTGGCACACACTGGTGTGGGGAACTCTGAGGTTTGCTGCCTCCCAGGCTCCATTGAGATAAAAGGTCCTCCTCGTGTTCCAAACCTATCCACACGGTGTATGGAACCCACATCCAAGGCCACACTAATATCTTAGCTATCGTTGGCTCTTGAGCGCTCTTCTCAATCCAGACAACCTTTATCTTCTAGATCATGCAGGCAGGTAGATGCGAGTCTTTTAAATCTACTGTTTAACACTTACAATTTATGATCAAAGTCCACCATTCTCACGTCACTCAAAAATGCAGGCTTTTGTCTCGAAATCCCCTTTCTTGCAAACACTGTTTTGGGGGCTGAAAAACAATGTTCTCTTCTCTTGTTCAGCGCTGGTGTTTCTTCGGTGCTGACCCTGCTTGAGTTAGTGCCTGCAAAGATCTAGGCTGAATGGTGAGAGAGTCACAGGGTTATAAAACCAGAGCAGTGAACCAAACATCGTGGGGATGACGGTAGCCCCACAGTTCCAACCTGAGGCTGGGTCTGGGTCTGTGTCCCCTGCTTTGTCAGATCAAGCCCACGGTTTGAAAAGGATGAAGGAGAGTGGTGAACAGGAAATCTGGATTTGAGATTTGCTCTCCCCTTTGCTTTATCAAAGTAGTAACATTTTTTAATTGTCAAATTAGATAAGGAATGTTTCAGATAGATACAATTTCAGAATTTCTCTCATTTTTGAACTTGATTCCACAGATAAAGGAATTTTAATTGAAGCACACACATCATTGTTAAATAATTATTTTAGTGCTTTGAATTGTATTTCTGAAGAGGAGGCAGATAAAATAGTAATTATAAAATTGACTGGATGTGAGGTTTACTTTGGTTTCATTGAATAGTTTCCGTAGGAATAACTCTCCTTCCTGCCTTCAAACCGAGGGCGGCTTCTTCCTGCTTTTCCTGGTAAAACCTGAGCCATTCAACACAGTACTTAGTTCAGAACCTGAATCTGACTTGAACTGGCATTTCCAGGCTTTGCTCTTGCTCTAAGCCTTCCCAGATCTGGCCCTGGGGCCCTCTGAGCTTTTGTTTTCCTCTTACTTATTGAATTTTTTAGCTTTGTGAATTGAGACAGCCTGTTCCTTTCACCAGGAGGTGCTCTGTTCCTTTCATCCCCGTCCACCTGCAGTCCACCTCCTGGCTTCTGCAGTCTCTGACACTGCCGTCCGTCATCGTAAAGACTCTCCAGGCTCCCTCATCCTTCCCCTATGGTGCTTCTTTAAAACTAACCTGTATTATGGATATTTGTGTAGCAAAAACAGGGCCAAAACCAGAAAGAGAAAGCTTGGCGCTTTCCCCCTGCTTCACGCATTGCACCAGGTCATTTCAACTCTCTGAGCAGCCGCTCAGCCTGTGGATTTCACAGCTGTCCTTGCACTGTTCTCAGTCTGAAGTTTGCTGGCTAAAGTTTCGACTCCTCGCGAACCCACATCAAGTCTCAATGTCCCATAGTGGTTTTACTCCGCAGCTATTTGCTAAATCAAATAGAAGGGCAGATGAGAAACAAAATATTTATTGATCACACCAGTGGGCTAACTGGGGGAAATAATGACAGTGTTCATTTAGGTTATTTGAGTCTCATTGACAGACCTGGCAGCAGAATAGACACAAACTAGCTTTCCCTTCCCTTTCTCTTAGCCAGTGACTGTGAGAGCTCCTTATATGTGTAGAGTAAGTTTTAATACTCTTTCTTTGTACAGTTTACAAGAGGTAGTGTATAGTAGTTCATAGCAAAGAAAAGAGCTGAAGATTAACTGCGAATTCACATTTCATTTGAGAAGCTTCCAACTAAACCAAGAAAAGCTCACCAGGTAAATACCACATCCTACCACTTTATTCAAAGAAGGCAAAAATAGCTCAGTTCCTTGACAACAATCTAAGCCTTTTTGGTCGTTCAACAAATGGCTTAGGAGCTTCTGCTCACTGCTCTGGCTTTATGTTTTATCATATGTTCATGTGGATGAAAGTTATTTCAAAGAAGACCAAAAATAATAATAATAATAATAATAAGCTTACCTCTATCCTTAGCTCATCACATCTGCTATTCAATAAGTATTCTTTGCCTGTGGGCACCTGAAATAGTGAGAAAGAATAGAACAAAGAAAATTAAATATAACTCCACAGCATTTTGTCTAAGGCAAATATTTACAATTTTAACTGAGGACAGACACACACTTCATCAAACTATTAGCATGCAACTCCAGCTGCAAAACTGAACAGCAATATGCCTACGCTGGTTAGCAGCAAAAAAGTAAACCAATCACATCGACAAAAAGCCACCATAAACAAAAAAACTGTATTTAAAAGATTAACAGTTTCGGCATTCATCCCTACCATCAAGTCTTTCGCTTTTTGTTTGTTTGTTTGTTTTCCATCAAAATTTAGCTTACGTTTGATGTTAGCAAGAGTTGCATTACTATTATTGTTAATTTTAGTTCTGTTTATTGCCTTGAGGGTTATATATTGTAAAATAATTTTGGTGCCTCTAGTTAATGTTAATTAGTTGTTTTAATAGCCTATAGACCTATTTGTTATGTTTTTGTAGGTTTACTTTTTTAACTATCAGGAACTAAATAACTGAGAATATTTAACATTACTGTTGCATAGGCAAAATTACAGAGTTACTATTAGTGTTACCTGTTTAACGTTTAGTCATCCTTTGAGTCCTGCGACATATTTCCTTAATAATCATCAGCCATCAAGTCTGATAGTCTCAAAAGAAATATCAGCCCTCTAAAGTGCCTTCAAGGGCGGTGATATTTAGCACTGAAAATTACAAATAAAGTTTTTGAGGTTGAATAGCAACAACTGGCCAGTGACACTGATGATTTGTTTGTCAAAACAAATTGTTATCAACTACGCAAATGAAGTCCACGCACTCCTTTGAGTGAAAACAATCAAGTGAAGCTACGCGATGCTTACATGTCGGATGGCGTATTTAATGTGCGGGGGAACTCAAAGGCTGAAGAACTAGGCATTTAGACAGTGGTAAGTGGTAATCTTACCTCTTTATACTCCGTTACTCTTTCTCACGAGAGACAGGCTAATGCAAACAAGTCAATCAGAATTTGTGTTTAGCAAGATAAAGCTTAGAGGATAGTTTAAAATCCATTTATTATTCTAAATCCAGTTTTTTCCATTAACAAGTTACACATTAGTGCTTACTAACCATGATTCATGTAACAGTTTAGTTTGTTAACTTTTAAATTATTTAACAACCATAAGTTATTAATACATTTTTTAAGTATTACACAAATATCTTAAAACAGGCTTGGGTCCATTTTTGTAATTTTTAAATAGAAAACATTTTAGGCATCTCTTGAAGAAGAAATAAAGCAAGCATTTAAAGCTAGAAAACAAGTAATTCCAAATTTAGTTTTTACAAAAGTTTTCAGCTTTATTGACAAATTATGGCAAACATATTTGACAAATTGTGGTTTCCTATTTAGAGAAGCTTACACATGGAACTTTATGTGTGTTTTTTTTTTCCTTTTTTAACAAATACAGGTTAAAACACTGAACAAATTCAGTTAGCTACATACATACAGTAGCTGCTTGTTTTCAACCCCATTAAAACAGCATTTAAAATTAAATTTACAAACTTAATATCGAACATCTTCATCTAACTAACAGATATTAAAAGACAGGTTAAAACATCTTATCTACAACTTTGTTATCAGCTAGTTCAAAAATCATATTACAGTCTTTTAGCAACCCTAAACAACGTGTCTGCTAGTTGGTTGAGACTCCAAATCTGTTAACAGATTCATGCTCTTTCTTAAAGAAAAGAAAAAAGAAAGTGGAAAGAAAAGAAAAAATAAATAAAAAAGATTACACACAACAATGAAAAACAACCAAGAGAATATCATCCTACTGAGAAGTCTACAGACTATGCTTGCCAATGTCTTTCTTTTTCAGTCCGTTTTGTAAAATAATACTAGTATCAATGTCACGCCAACAGCATAGAGGGAAATACAAGAAATATACGGAAGTGATCATGAGCAGTTATGCCTAGAATAGAAAAACACAAACAAAAAAAGGACTATTACTTGTCTTGTTGCTGTTTATGTGGAGACCACAGGCTATGAATTGTCTTTGAGGTGAGGTCACAGGTGAGCAGGACCTTCAATATCTACCATAGGGGTGTTCCCTGTATCCCCCTCTGGCTGACCTCGGTGGCGGCGCCTTCAAGCTAGAGCGGGTTGTGGCCCATTCTTCTGGTGCTACGAACAAGAGAAAGATAGTAACATGTATATGATGGTACAGTTATTAAAAACAATCATTTAAGGCACAATAGTCGACCGAGAAAAAGACAACGAAAGATCTCCACCCTGAAAACTACACTGTTATTATTCATCTAAAAGTGTGTGTATATATGTGCCTGTGTGTGTGTGTGTATGTACGTATGTACCTATCTATCTATCATATCTATGTATGTAGTCTCTTGTAGGTAAACTGTAAACTTTCAGAATATTTTTCAAAAAAGAGAAAGTTAAAGTTTTTAGATAAACACACCTTTTTATGTGTTGGATTTCAATACCACAAAATAGAATAGTGCCAATGTAAACCATTCCTCATTTCATCTTCTTGTACAGACTTCTAAAAGATTTGGATATACTCTTAAAAGATTTAGATGTAGTAGATCAGTGGTTCTTAGTCATGGATGAAATTGAGAATCACCTGGGAATTTTAAACAAAGAAAACCCAAAATAACTAATATCTCTTTTCTATTCCCCAAAACAAATGATTACAAAATTCCTCATGTGGGATCTAGGGCTTGATAGTTTTCAAATGCTCCTCAGATGACTGTTATGGAGTCCAGAGTTAAGATCTATTGTGTTAAACTGTACAAGAAAAAGTTAATGAGAGGCAAGCCGGATGGACTAGGGAAAATTTTAAGCAGTAAACTCAGGGAAGAAAAAAAATCTGGTTTTTCCAAATAAACCACTCAAAGAGGCATTAGTACATTATGATGCTAGGAAGACCCCTCATTTGCTGTTAATCAGAATTCTATTATCGTAAACATTTTTGAACCTAACCAAAAAACAAAAACAAGAAACAAGCAACCAAGCTTTTAAGTACTGTAGAAAATAGCTATTTGTAAAGTCTAGGTCCACAGGGGAAATATGTAAGTTCCATCTTTAAAGAAACTTAATAGTGGGTTTATGATGATATTTTATGTGATTCTGGAAACCAGATTATCTTTGTCTTTTAATCAAACTTAATTCCTCATGGAAAGCAGATTTCATGCCTAGATCAACAGTAAGAGGAAGTATGGACATAAGGAAGGAGGTTACTAGAAAGAGACCCAGTGACATTGACAGCTGAGACAAGAGGCAGCAGTCATGAAAATGTTAAATCAGAACTCATTGCAGATGTAGGGCATTTGCCCCTGGATAGTTCAAGTGATCTTAAGAATTATATTTTAAGTGATCTTAAGAATATTTTAATGGAGATTGCATTGAATCTGTAGACTGCTGTGGTTAGTACAGATATTTTAACAATGCTGATTCTTCCCAGTCAAGAGCGTGGCATGTTCTTCTATTGTTAATGTATTCTGCTATTTCTTTTCTTAGAGTTTCATAATTCTCTTTGTAGAGGTCCTCCACTTCCTTTGTTAGGTATATTCTTAGGTATTTCATTTTCTTTGAGGCTATTATGAACCGAATTGTGTCTTTGATTAGCTTCTCAACTTGGCATTTTTGGCATATACAAAGGTTACTGATTTATGGACATTGATTTTATACCCTGAGACATTACTGAATTTCTTGCTTACTTCCAGGAGTCTTACGGTTGAGTCTCTGGGGCTCTTTAAGTATAAGATCATATCGTCAGCAAAGAGCAAGAGTTTGACCTTCCCTGCCTCCATTTATATCCTTCTCTTGCCTGATAGCATTGCCCAGAACTTCTAGAACTATGTTAAATAGTAGGGGTGAGAGAGGACATCCTTGTCTGCTTCCTGTTCTAAGTGGGAAAGCTTTCCATTTTACTCCATTCAGTATGATATTAGCTGTGGGTTTGTCACAGATGGCTTGAATCAATCAATTGAAGAAATGTGCCACCGAAGCCTATATGCTTAAGCGTTCTTGTTAGAAAGTGAGGCTGAATTTTGTCAATTGCTTTTTCTGCATCTATTGCGAGGATCATATGGTGTTTGTTTCTGCTTCTATTGATATGGTGGATTACATTTCTGGATTTGTGTGCATTAAACCAGCTTTGCATCCTTGGGATGAAGCCTACTTGAGAGGGAAAGACTTTTATACCACTGGTGGGATTCCCAACTGATACAAACTAATACTATTCAACCACAAAAAGACTTTTGATCTTTCGTATTAACTTGGATGGAGCTGAAGCACATTTTCCTTAGTAAAGTATCACAAGAATGGAAAAGCTAGTACAATACATGCCCACATGATGATCAATATGAAGCCAGTAGAAGATCTAATCCATGCCCACATAAGAGAAAAACTCAATTGAATTCAAGTTGGAGGGAGGAGGAATGATGGGGAGGAGAGGAGGGGATTGGTGTGCTCCCATTTAATGGGCACAATGTAAGGGTATATGGCATACCTCTTGGGCATGGAACACAACTAGGGTTAGGTAGGGACTCTACCTAACAAATGTAAGTGTTCTAGCTTAGTTGTTTGTACCCTCACATTAATCTGAAATAATAAAATAAAATAAAAACAAAAATACTAGTTCATAAAGATTACCAAAAAGGAATAAGAAATTTTAAACTTATACTCACTATGACATAAAGCAAATGAAAACAGTCCACAATGTAGAGAAATTATTAAAAGCTTATCAGTGTTGGAAAAATAGTTCTTAAATGGATAAAAATTTGGGTTCCTGAGTATAGCCTCATTAGGAGATCATTTTTACCAATAGTGCCTAATCATAAATAAAACAATATATCTCTTTCCCTATCTAAGGGGCATGCTTATGTTTATTTCAGTATGTGATAGGAGATAAAAAAGGCATGAGAAAGTAAATAAATATGAAAATGTTACTATCCTCAGAAGAGAAATATACCTGGATCAGAGGTGAAGAAATCGGGGCTGTGAGAAAACTCTGGCCAGCTACCTGTTTTGAAGACTGAGGTTTAGAACACAGGCATGCTTATTTATTTACATATTGTTCATGGCTGCTTTCATGCTGCAGAAGTAGAATTGAGAAATGGTGATGGTGATTACATTGCCCCCAAACGCTAAAATATTTGTATTCTGGGCTTCTTACAGAAACGCCGTACAGACCCCTGTTCTATACCAAGCTGTCACTTTTGGTGAGAGAACATAGATGTGGCTTTTTCTGATATGCTCTCTTGAGGACAGGAATTCACCCCCACCCTGCCTTAATTTCTCAATACAGAACATTAAGAGAAGAATTCCATATATTTACTTGATTGGAATTAAATAAGATTGTCTTTGGGGGTACTAGCAGGGAAAAGAGACTTAGCTTGCAAGATTGAAAGCTCCTACTTAATCTTACGTAAAATCAATGTTTATACCATGTCTATGAGATAATCAAGAATATACCAATGTTCTTTTTCTCTGCTGGTAAAATATATACCAATTTATTATGGTTTATAACCAAAAAAAGTACCACTCTTTACTCCCACTGTATTAGGGATGTCTGAGTTGCATTCTATGGGATTCAAGAGCATAGGTAACATAGGTTTCAAGTTTTCCCCGGAAATGAGAATCTTGGTCTTTTCTCAGATTATAATGTTCATGGTTAAGTGTTTCTGCAAATTAGCAAAACCATGCACAGTGGTACAAGTGCCTGCCACATTCTCAGATTTTTCAGAATTTTAAACTGACCTAATCCTGGGGACTTATCACAGAGAAACTAAGTGTTTAATAAGAATTCATTGACTTGGTACATGCGATACTTTGATACAGACATGGTGACTTTCCTTGAGGTTTTCTGAGGCTCTCGGGCAGTTAACTGATGAGCAAAACCTCTTCATTGCCTGTTAGCCGACACTGGAATAGAGAGGGTCACTGTTCACTGTCCTATCCTCAGTGCCTGGAAAAAATGCAGCGTCTAATTAGGGTGGAATGTAAGGAAAGGCCGCCTGAACAAAGGATGAATGAAGGAATAAATGTGGGAACTACGAGATAGAAAGAGCTTCCAATGATATCCTGAAAAGCCAGCACCACTGAAGTGAAGAAATTTGACCTTGACCTCTATTTTAAAAGCTCTATAACTAAAAATCATATACATCTGCTGTAAAGTCAGACTTTGTACTGAAAGTAGCAAAAGCGTTCAGCACTGAATTCAAGGAAACAATCACAGTGGAAGCCCTTTAGAAAAAAAGTTTCATTGTGTAAAAATATGTTCCTTTATAAATCTCTATAAATGAATTAACACTATGGTCTTTTCTCCTCTCTCAGGCCTAGGACACTGGGAAATACTATTAGTTTGTAATAACTGAAACTCAGAAGGAAAAAACCAGTCAGCATGAATTCCTATACCGGCAGAAGCGAGTTTCAGATTTTCCAAGATTTCTATACTTGTTCTTAGACAAAAAGCCAAGAAGCAAGATTTCTAAGATTTCTAACTATCATGAGATGAAATTAAGGATTTATTCTCTCATTCACATTTAATTCAGACTTAATTCATGGTTTAGTTCCCCTGTTTATATGTCCTCCATGAGAATAGAGAATTGAAATCAGGGAACTTATTTCTATTTGTGCCAAATTTCCCTCATTTACCTGTGTATCTTTATGAATGTCAGAATCTTTGCATAGAGTCAGACATTTTCAATTGTGATAATACAAGCTAGTTTCTCTTTGAAATTTTATTCTTTGAGTTGGGCTTGGAGTGTCCTGATTCCATGAATGTTTTTCCAATGTCACCCACCATATAGTATGTCATTGAACTTTGTATGGTCAGTCAAACTCTTCGTCTGTAAACAGTTGGATTTCTTTACTGCAAGTATTGGAGAGAGAAGGGATACTAGCCTGCATCCACCACAGAACCGTGAGCATGGAAAAGACCCAAACACAGGGAGAGAAAAATTGTAAGGTCCCTAGTGGGGGGTTTCTCTGAAATATGAACTTAAAGAAGCCCAGGAGTGGACTTAGAACTTACCTATCCTCTTGGGGTTTCTAGGTAAAGAAGTATTTAGCAGACAAGTAGATTTAAAATATTTTAAGACTTCCTACAAATGTTGGAGTCCTGGTTAATTGTTTCTACCTTGGGAATATAGTCTAGGATG